GGGCATGTCTAACTCTGCTTGCTCCTCCGGGGGAAGTGTCAGCAATCTCAGATGGGCCAGACAGAGGGTCAAAGGCACACCAAGGGACCTGGCGGTTTTGGGTAGGTGATAACAGCAAATAGGGGTACCTCTCCTTTTTTAACCTTCCTTTCTGACCCCCCCCCACCCCAGGCTGGCAGCTTCCATATTTTTTATTTCCTTAGCATACCATTGTTAATTCCAAGGAATTGCTGTCAAAAATCCTTTAGAAAAGTATAAGTAAATATAAAAAAAGACCTTGCCACCCCAGCCCATCTGGTGGTCCCCGCTTAGGGTACCCTGCCCAAGACGGCATGGACAATAATGCTCAGTGCCCACGGAACAGCATCTCAGGCTAATTCAGCTGCTAGTCTTCTTCTGAGTTGCTTAAAATCTTTTTTTTTTAAATAAAGATTTTATTTATTTGAGAGAGAACGTGCACAAGCAGGGGGAGTGGCAGACAGAGGGAGAGGCAGGTTCCCCACTGAGCAGGGAGCCCGATGTGGGGCTCGATCCCAGGACCCTGGGACCATGACCTGAGCTGAAAGCAGACGCTCAACCGACTGAGCCACTCAGGCGCCCCTGCTCAAAATTTTCTAATCACTTCACTTAGAGCAACAGAGCTAAAAGGAGGTCAGGTGCCTGGCACCAGAGAGAACTAAAAGTTATTAAAATCTCTCATTTTAATGTTTTTAAAACATACTCATGATTTAATGATAAATACCAATGTATTAAAATCCATAGTGCCGCCTCTGGAACTCAAGAGGAGCCAACGTGGTTAGGAAATATGGATGACACGAACACAGGCATCTGGTTCCATTTTATTAAAAAACAAAACCAAACAAAATTTTGCAACGAAATTTCCTGGAATTCACAATCCTCTTCAAATCTTTAAAGTTGCATTTTTTTTTTTTACCAGTACATAAGAACACGATTGCACTTATTTACATTATAGTCTTCTATATAACAAAAATAGCCATGTTGTACGGTTGAGTGTTTCCAACTATCATCCTTAACATTTCTTCACTAGCCCAGTATGAGACAGACTGTTTATGCTCTCCAAACACATAGATAATAGAATAAAGCAAAATAAAAGTCCATGTCTCCTAATAGAAGACAAATCCCTTTAAGGACAGTTTTTTAAACTTCTGTGTATTTCAAGAGAGATATAAAGTGCTCTGGAAGGAGTAAGGTGGGTGCCTGAGGTGGGGAAAAAGGAAGGAGAAAGAGATTTACACCACCCTCCCCCCACCCCCTCCAAAAAACCCCCCAAACCAACTATACCGCCTTCACCAATCATTTAAATATACCTGTGACTTTGTACAGAAGATGATGTTTTGGTAAAAAAGCTACATAATCCACTACTAAATTTCTCGGCAATGAAGAGCTAACCAAGGTCCAAATTAAAAGCTATCCATGCAAACGTCATCAGGGATCATATTTGTGATTTTTGAGTCATGTGGCAAATAAATCCAGGAAGCTGTCCCATGATCTGAATGTGGAGGCTGGGTAATAGCATGATGGCACCACCGTGTGTATGATCTGCAGACTGGCCAAAGTAAAATTCTACCTGTGACATCATTTTACGATAAAAGCACAAAAATTCATGTATAGGGAGGAAAAATAAATCCACTGGATTTTTTTGCCGCTGGCAGGTTTATACTAGAGATTGATTTATGGTGCCAATTCTGAATATTTTATAATAGTAAATTCTTTGTAGCACATTTTTTTTTTTGGTGCAAATAACAATGTTATATACAAAGGGGTTAAAAGAAGTTGGTTTTTTTCTTTTCACATTATTGAAAGGGCAATTGCTGGTCATGGTCTGCAGTCTATAAAATTGGGTATCACATATACACTGCTTGGGAGGCTCCCCTGGAAACTAGAATAATCATCCTCCCAGCTCATGAATATTTTAAAGAACAAGTCCCATCATTTTTCACGATGAATGGAATGTAACTTTTCACAAGTACAAAATTACTTCAAGTTTTCTAAATATAAGGGACATCCCACTATAAAAATAACAGCCCCTCCCAACCCTCCCCCACCCCCTACATCTCTTTCTAATTATAAAATGGTACAACCATTTCAGATTACTAATGTGAGAGCAGGAAGTAAATACATTATTATGTACATGTACAAAACACGTCAGTATTTCACACCATTTACATTCATATGAAAGAAGTCTGTTTATTGATCTTCCTTTGTGATATGACAAGAGAGTTGAGATAAGTTACCAAACACTCAGGCCCTTGCCTTCAAACTCCGCACAAACACTCCAGCCAGAGGCATCTTCTTTGCCAACAGAACTAAGGATAAGCTTTGACATTTTGCAGAAGAAAGGGCTGCAGACAGTCAGATCTTCTGTGGGGCTCCCCTTCAACTTTCCCGAGCTTGTGACATTCCTTCCTCTTTTGATAAACATGGACCAAATTATCAACTACTGAATAAAAACTGTATAACGAAAGGCAAATAACTGGTCCTTGAGGAAATGGTGACCCTCGTCAAATTAACTGGCTGAAAGAATAATGGCGATTAGTCCAGCAGAGGGCGCCCTGCCCCTTGCAATAACAGCCTACAGACCAGTAAGTACCACAGATGCCAACATAAAGTCCTTACGCGGGCAATTCTCCTTCAACTGCTCCGCTGTGTATTCGTGCAGGCAACAGTTTGGTATTTTCTTCAAAAGCGTGGGATACACTCTAATTAAGAAGCTCTCCTACATGAAAATTCTTTGGCTATTTAAAATCTTCACGTTCTCAGAACAATAATTCCGAGTACGATAAAGCGCTAGTTTTGTCTAAAATTTTTTGAGGGAAAAAGGAGATGAAAACACCAGACTTTAAAGATGGTGTGGTACTAAGGCCACGATACTTTTTTTTTTTTTTCTTCTGGATTTAGTAAGGGCAGTCACCAGCCTGCAAGAGAAAACCCCCTAAGGTTTCACAGTTTCATCTGACTAGGCAACCCATCTTCACTTTTATTTACGAGAACATTAGGAGAAAATTAAACGAGTCAATGGAAGAACATGTATGTGTCCATCTGGATGGTGATCGGTCTTTGGTTTGCATAGCACACATGGTCCTCACATTTTCCTGCTTCTCCGAGCCTTTCAATTCAGTAAGGATGACAAGACCACAGACATTCTGCCAAGCAGTGATTCTGGGTACCTTGGGTGGAGCTTCCTTCTTCACAGTTCTCCCTTGCTCCGTACAGACCTGCAGACCCCTTAAGAGACTATGTTCTTGCCTTATCATTATCATCAACAAACATTTCTCAGGTGGCTATGGAGTGAATGGCTCTGTAGTAAGTGCAAAAGTAGCACAGGGATGAAAAGGTTTTTGATCGCTGAGATTCCTGAAAAAGCCACTTGACTGAGGCAGGCGTAGTTCACAGGGTGATAAAGAGATATGTGAGTGACCTCATCGGGTTCTTTGCATAACAAGCAGGTTTTGTCATTAAAGGGCTTGATAATTAAGGACCTACATCTAGGATCCGGAATCACCTCTTTAGTTTTGGGATAATTTCGTGTCATTACAGGGGGTCAAAGTGTAAGCGCGGCTACCGATCTATGGTGTTTGTTTTGTTTTGTTTTGTTTTTTGTTTTAACAAATTACTGTTCCTATTACAAAGGGCCTGGAGCTGTGAGATGGGGAGAGCAGGCAAAGAGAAGAGGTAAGTGATGCTGAGAAACTCATTCCTGTTTCTCAGAATTAATTTATCTTTCAGGCAATCCCAACCTTCTTTGCAACCATGAGTGTTAAACTCCTTAAACACACACATACACACCCCAAAACACCGGGTCAGCTCTAAACCTAGGGGATGAGCATTTATTTGGGAAGAGTGCCCATGTTCATATCCGGCCATCCTCTTTCTCACTTCCTGCAGGCTAGTATTCTCACCTCCTTTTGACTGCCATCATCAATTACACGTCAGTGACACACAGCACTGTGCAAGGCACCTGTGTCCCTCACCTGAGGAGAATGGTTTCTTTGTGTCTCTTTTTCAATATTAAGGAAGAAATGGCCTCTCAGATCCCTTACAAAGAGGAAGTTCTTGTGCTAAGAAACTGAGTTATGAAGCATGAGTGGACATCGGATACAGTCTGGCCCATTCATTTTTCTAAGAAGTCCTAATCTCAGGGACCTCTGGTGAACTAGGAAGGTCACAAATGCTCAAGGTAGAAGATAACAGATCTCGACAGCATTCTGGAATTGTGACTTTCACATTATTTGCCTAGGAGACTTTTCTGGCAAGGAAGCCTGAAAAAAAGGCAATAGCTATAATGGTCTGTGATTAAATTCGTACTAGGAGAAGTGAAAACATGGCTAACTCCATTATGGAGGAAGTTAATTTGCCTTTAGACTAAACTGGTTTTCCTCATCAGAAGTGCAAATATAGACATTGCCACACAATAAAAACAAGAAAAACACCAACACCAGTAACAGTAATCACAATAAATGGTAATCACAATAATGTTAAGTCTATAGATCCAAAGCCACCAAGGTTTTTTTGTCCTGAAAGATGGGAAAAGAATGTGTGTAGGTGTGTGTACAGAAAGAGACAGGCAGTCCGAGAAGGCCACACACACACACACACACAGAGGAGAGAGAGAGAGAAAAGGGAAAGAAATCTAAGACAGAGCATATAAAAAATGCTACTGGAAATTGCTGTGGGGGTCCCAGACCACAGAGGGCTGGGTCCTCGCTCCACAGAGGATGTGACTCTGTATCTCAGATTTTCTGAGTTTTGATTTAATGAGATTTCTTTGTTTTCAGTCAAGGTGATGCATTCAGTGGATAACTAAATGCCACTTATTTTTTAATGCTCTGCAAGAATTTTCAGCAAACCACAACTCATAAATAAGAAAGAGCCCCATGTTAGGTTATCTATCATCATTTTTGGTTCTGAAGGTGTGGTAGCCCCAAGGATGTCGGCACTGTCTGAAGTAGCCACTGGGCATTGTGGTTTCTGACATAACCAAAACGAGGGAAATGCTGAAAAAAAACTTTGGACAGGGATTTGCCTCCACGGTTACCATCGTGACTAGGTGATGCCAGAAATAGGTAGGTGCTTTTGCCACTATTTTTTTTTTTTTAGAATTTTTTTTTTTAAAGTAATCTCTACATCCAATGTGGGGCTTGAACTCACACCCCCAAGATCAAGAGTCGCATGCTCTACCGACTGAGCCAGCCAGGCGCCCCTCCACTATTCACTTTCTGCCTTCTTCTAACTCCCCTTCTTCCTTCCTAGGTGATGGAGTTAATATTTCAGGGGTAACTAAGCCCTGGAGACTAAATCAACATTTAGCTGCTGTATTCATGATCAGGGCTCAGTTCTTCTCAAAGGGATCAGCCACACGGAAGAGGCAATTCCTAGAGGTGACTCTCAGTTCTTCTGAGGGAAAGGAAATGCTCCCTTTCTTGCCCACAGCCTTTGGGTGAGAGAGGATGCTGACTTCTGAGTTGAGAGCTGGCGGTTGTCGGCTGTCCTGATTCACCCAGTAGGGCTGGGCAGTCACATCCCCAAAGACTTCTTCTCAGTGAGGCCACTCAAGAGTCGTGCATTTGGAGTCAGTACGTAACTTCCCACTTTCCCCCCCTCAAATCCCCAGGGGGCACTGGCACCAGGAAAAGGCCTTCTGCCAGCCCGGAAGCAGGAGAACTAAGGGTTGAGGTGAAGTTGGATGGAATTCTTTTTGGTTCCTGAGTGCCACATACCAGTCTAAGGGTTTGTCTTAGAAGTGAGGGAGATAATTTTGTTTCAGCACCAAATCAACATGGTTTGTATGACTTTTTTAAAAAAACAACTGGTCAGCGAAGTAACGGTAACAGTAATGGACATCAATGTATGGTTAGAAAGGTCAGGCAGAAATTTCAAAAAGAATGGGGGCCTGAATATTTACCCATTACAAAATAAACAGATCTTTGGGCCTCTCATTAGGCAACTTGGGTGGAGTCTAGTTCTCTCTGGAGGTAATTAGGTTTTAACTTTTTTTTTTTTTTTTTCTTTGCAAGGGTCAGGGGATCTTGTGAGAATACTGGAGCAGCTCTGGACCTGCGCTGTCCAGCTGGAAGCCACGGGTCACATGTGGCTGTTGAGACAGAGCTGGAGATGTAGCTCATCCAAAGTGAGGCATGCTGGGAGCTTAAACACACGATGGGTTTAGAGGACTTAGTACAAAAAAGAATGTAAAATATTTCACTTATACTTTTTACATGTTGAAACAAAAAGATTAAATATATTATTAAAATTATTTTGAACTGTTCCTTTTTACTTTTTAAAATGTAGCCAGTAGAAAATGTAAAATTTACATGGGTGACTTGCATTATATTTCCATCGGATAGTGCTGGTCTGGACACTCATTATAGGAAAATGCGCATCTGTAAATATGCATAAAGTTTGCATATACTTTTAGAGGGTTCCCAGCTCAGAATTTCCTCTTTGGGAGGTGGGGGGAAGGTGGTGAAGAAGGTTATGGGAGAAGGTTTTCATTTCTTTTAAACCCTTCTATGCTGGTTAAACTTTTTTTTTTTTTTTTTTTTTTAACCACCAAAGCCAGAGGAAAATCCTCTGGAAAAAAACCTTTGGTAAATGGAGAGCCTCCTAGGCTCAAGGGTTTTGTAGCTGAACCTCCTTGGGGTAAAGTCATAGGCCTCAGAGGCGTACATAGGCAACCGATTCTTGATTTACTTGGTCACCGGCAGTAAGAGACAACACTCATCAAATGGACAACTATGCAATCCAAAAGGCATTTTCTCTCCTGGGTATGGAATACAGTTTGTATTTCTTTTGCTGTTGGATTATCTTTCTAATTCCACTTGACCTAAGTTAATACCCAAATGTGCTTCGGGTAGAGCGGACTGAAGGAGCACATGGTGTAACCCACGCTGACCAAGAACAAGAAACCCCTTGAGATGAAGAATCCCACACCGAGGTATCCGGAGATTACAAACCCTGTGACTAACAGTGGTTTTAAAACAAGGCAAAACAAAACCACTCCTACTTGGACTTCAACTTTGCATCATGTCGATATTCATTCTCAGCAACATAGGAGTACCGAATCCCAAAAGCCATCAGTGTATGTTTCGTGTCGAGGAACTGCCTCCCTAAGGTATGAAGTCAGCTATATGTCATCGCCATCTGCCAAAACATGGATACCCCCCACCGCTCATTAGCAGTCTTAAGGCCAGAAGGAGCTTTGGCCGTCATCTTGTGAAACTCCTTCATTTCACAGGTGAGGGAGAAGGGAGATGAGGCCCAGCAAACATGTGGCTCATGCCCAGGACTCCTGCCCCCCCTTGCCTGCCTTCGCACACTGACACTGGGTTTCATTACAGGAAGTGCGAGACTCCCAGAGAGAGGTGACATTTCTGAAGGTGGTAATCATTTTCCTTGCCTTGCTGCCTACTTAGAAAGCATCAAATAGGAAACCATTAAAGATGGTGAAAAAAGAGCAACCAGTAGTCTGACATCCACTGCATGTTTCAGCAGGGCAGCGGGGATTTACGACACAGCCCCACTCGGTTTTTGGATGAGTATTAGTGTAATGAGGTGGAAAAGCCTCGTCCAAGATGTAAATACCTCAGTGAGAAAAGCTCTCCTTCTTAGTAACCCACGCAGTCGCATCGCCTTCTTACAGAGGATGAGGTGGTCCCTGATTGTCCAGGGAAACCGTTCACCACCTTAGTCATCTCTGCATCTGCACAGTCTAAATGTATTACAAAACTGCCCACTGAAAAAATAGCACATCTCTGTCATAGTTACAAAAAAAGAATAAAAACATAAGTAGTTTAAAAATGCCAGTGGGTTTCGGTATCGACTGGATGCCTCTTTTCCTCTCCCTCTTTGTCTCTCTCCGGGTTAGCAAATTCCCATGCTGTACTTTTTAGATCAAGTGGTTTATCAAATCACACGTCCCTCCTCACTTGGTATTTAGATGTACTCGGGGAGCCCTGGGAAGCAAGCTGCTAAGGATTCCCCTAAACCCTCCGTTGAGGTCTGGTGAGGTTTAACAGAAGTGTGCTGGGATTAAGGTAAAACCCTGGCGATCCCTCAGCCCCCACTGTGTTGGACACTGGGCTCCCAGAGGATTGGGTCTCTTCTGAAGCCTCCACTGCCTGCAGAAGCCACCTGCGGAGGGAACAAAAGACTGTTCTAGCCTCGGGGAGACCAAGATCACAGACATTTTTCCTTTGGGGAAGAATATGTGGTATCTGGTCTTAAGACTGGGCTTGCAGTCCCGGCTGCAAGCCCTACAGTCAGTCATGAAGAACAGCGCTACAGCCCTGGAGGGGGCTTCGGAGTTTGGAACTTCAAAGTCTTTAAGATCCAGGCAAAAATGAAGCTTCCTTCTTACGTCACGTGGGCCATTAACAGAGCAAGGCAAGTGGGAACCAGCGTGATGTGGCTGCAAATGATTAGTAGCCTCAGCGGATTCAGAGCTTAGTGTTGGGGTCTCTGGCAGCTAGGATCTTTAAGATCCACTTAAAAGAATTTAGATTCTTAAGGAAAGCTGGCCTTAGACGCTTTCAGGGTGCTGAGGCACTTCCCAAAGCCATGCACACTTCATGCTGAGAGGTCAAGGCCATTCATCTCAGAGATGGCGTGTACAAACTGATCATAGCAGGAACTGGTGCTTCGAAACAGAGCTCTCTACAAAAGCTGGAGTCAACCAAAGCTGTCAGCTTTGGTTTGGAGCCAACCAAAGGGGTGGACATCACGTAAACTGCACACAGTCTTTAAAAATAAACTGCCAAAGAAATCAAACCACATTCCCCAAACAACAAAACAAGACCTGGAAGAAAAGGAAATAAAACTAAGAAGCCCTAAACGTGTCCTGTCTGTTTTAGGAGCTTCTGAAGTGTGTGTGTCTACAAGGACATGGGAGGGAAAATCAGCTTTCGACTTCCCAGCTGCCAAGGCCATGGACTGTTGTACAGATGGAGAGATGGCTTCCTGATTAACGTGACTTTGGATATTGCTTTCATTACCATTCTTGAGCTGAGCGCCGTGGAGTTACCAAGCGGTTCTGGAGGTGTGTGTAGCCGGTCTAATTCTTGAGGTTCTCCTCCCTTCCTTCCCCTTGGGTCCTACCATCCCTTTGTTCTATAGTCACCGTTTCAAGACTTGACCTCTTCGCAGTCTTGGTCAGTGGAAAGGTCTACATCAGACAGTCCAACTTCCATTGCCATAATCAGCGAGATGTCAGAATCACTGCTTACAGCTGGTTCCTGCTCGCCTGGGAGGAGAAAGCAAAGTTCATGGTGAACACTGAACGATGTTTTTGGAGGCTGGTTATTTTAATACAATTGTCTTTAGGAACATTTCTTTGATGGCCGAGAGAAGGTACTAGAAAAATTGGCTATTTTGTAAAACAAAAACAAAAACACAAAAAACAAAACCAAAAACTAGGTAGAGCCTCATCTCACATGATAGCCCAAAATAAGTTCTAAATAGGTCAAAAAGTTAAATGTAAAGAAGAAACTAATACAGCTAGAAGAAGATATAGCTTATAAGTATATATCTAAGTAGGAAAATATCTAATATATCAAAGTAGGGCAAGAAACTATGTGGAAAAGCAGTTGAGCAATTCACAGAACAGATTGATAAATGTGCATAAAATTCAAAAAATATTAAAAACATGAAAAATAAGATTAAAAGGCATATATCAAACTTGAAATATTTGTGAACATTTCATAAAGGGCTGGATTTTCAACATATAGCTTTGAAATCAGTATGAAAAACTAAAGAGAAAAGTGGGCACAGGTTGCTATTATAGAGCAATACAATATAAATGACCAATAAACTATAAGGTAAAAATGAGCTACTTTTTTTTTTTTAATAAAACGTCTCTCTTGAAGAAACAGCATTACACTAAGGCAGGTACTTCGATATACTGCATGTAGGACTGTGACATTTTCACTCAGTAATTTCATTTCCAGAGTGTATCATAGAGAAATAGCCATGCAGAAATACTCACTGAAGCATTATTTATAGCAGCAAAACATCTCAAGTAACAAAGTCCAACAATATAGAATACCTGAGGGAAGTGTGTTACTTCTAGAGCACAATCTTCTTGCTGTACCAACTAAAGTAACATTTCCAAAGAACTTGTAGTTACATAAGAAAATGCTCACAGTATTCTTCTAAGTGAAAACTGAAGTGTTCAAAGCTTTATATGTAGTGAGGCTTACAGAGAAGGTTAACAAGAAGCAAGGGAAAGTTAACTAGAAGCAAGGAAGCCAAAAATGCTAGTAGGACTTGTCTCAAGTTTTGGGATTTACGCTCATTTTCTTTAAAAAAATTTTTTTTCAGTTTTACTTTACTTATTCATTCTGCAATGAACAAATATCATTCATTCACTCAAGACATAGGGAGTCCCCACTATGTACAAAGGACTGGGCTGGATGTGAGGCAAGACAATTCCTGTCTTCAGGGAGCTTCCTGTCTAGGAGGCAGGCGCCCCGTGAGACAGGCAGTCACAACACAACGGGATATGCGTGATGCTGGAAGACGCAGCTGGTGTTACAGGAGCAGGTAACGAGGGCTATGTGACCGACTACCGAGCAGAAGGCTTCCCATCGGGTGTAACATCTACACTGAGTCCTCAAGGAGAACTCGCATTCTAGCCAGATGATTAAGAAGGAAGCATCTCTTAAACACTAGCAATAGCATGTATGGATAGATATGTCTAAGCATGAGAGGGAGTCTTGTACAGATGGACATTAGATCATATTTAAATATGACTGGAATGCAAGGTCAAGCTAGGGACTCTGAAGGGGGACTGGGGTGCTCAGCTGCATAAAAGGCAGCTTTAAAACCAAAAGACCTTGCGTGTCCCATTATCCTGTTGACGAAACACACAATTAGAAGACCGGCAAAATGTCGAAGTACTGAAGAAGCTGGTGGTTATAATACTTTTGCTCTTATAATCACCGATATAATTTATTTCATGTTGAGGTACAGTTAAAGAGTTAAAGAGAATATGAGTTTTATGAAAGAGGTAAATTCTTTTAATTTAAATTCAGTTTACTTAACATATAGTGTATTATTAGTTTCAGAGATAATTTAGTGATTCATCAGTTGCATATAACACCCAGTGCTCATTACATCAAGTGCCCTCCTTAATGCCCACCATCCTGTTACCCCATCCCCCACCTCCCCTTCAGTGACCCTGTTTGTTTCCTACAAGTAAGAGTCTCTTATGGTTTATCTCCCTGTTTTCATCTTTTTTTCCCCTGTCTGCTATGTTCATCTGTTTTGTTTCTTAAATTCAACATTTGAGTGAAATCATATAATTGTCTTTTACTGACTGACTTATTTCGCTCAGCATAACACCCTCTAGTTCCATCCACATCATTGCGAATGGCAAGATCTCATTCCTTTTGATGGCTGCATACTATTCCATTGTGTGTTTTTGTGTGTGTGTGTGTGTGTGTGTGTGTACACCACATCTTCTTTATCCATTCACCTGTCAATGGACATCTGGGCTCCTTCCACAGTTTGGCTATTGTGGACATTGCTGCTATAAACATTGGGGTGCAGGTGCCCCTTCAAATCACTATGTTGTATTCTTTGGATAAATACCCAGTAGTGCAATTGCTGGGTCATGGGGTAGCTCTATTTTTAACTTTTTTTTTTTAAAGATTTTATTTATTTATTTGACAGAGAGAGACACAGCGAGAGCAGGAACACAAGCAGGGGGAGTGGGAGAGGGAGAAGCAGGCTTCCTGCCGAGCAGGTAGCCTGATGCGGGGATCGATCCCAGGACTCTGGGATCATGACCTGAGCCGAAGGCAGATGCTCAACGACTGAGCCACCCAAGGTGCCCCTATTTTTAACTTTTTGAGGAACCTCCATACTGTCTTCTAGAGTGGATGCACCAGCTTGCATTCGCACCGACGGTGTAAGAAAGTTCCCCTTTCTTCACATCCTTGCTAACATCTGTTGTTTCCTGAGTTGTTAATTTTAGCTGTTCTGACCGGTGTGAGGTAGTATCTCGTGGTTTGGATTTGTATTTCCCTGATGCTGAGTGATTTGATCGAGCATTTTCTCATGTAAAAAGACAGTGAATTCTTAAGATGTTTAAAAGGAAACAAACAGAACTAACACAGAGTTATGGCCTTAAGAATCAGCTTTAGAGAAATGGGCTGTTTCACAGGGCTTGATCCAACCTAAAGACTCAGCTCTACTAGGTTTCCTAGGCCCATAAATGCATGAGGTTCACAGAAACAGATCAATGGCTAGAATAAGACTTTGGAAGCAGCTCTCAGCAGATAGAGGTATTTAGTATTTGAGAATGGGGGCACTCCAGGGGCGCCTGGGTGGCTCAGCCGTTAAGCCTCTGCCTTCGGCTCAGGTCATGGTCCCAGGGTCCTGGGATCGAGCCCCGCATTGGGCTCCCTGCTCCGCGGGAAGCCTGCTTCTCCCTCTCCCACTCCCCCTGCTTGTGTTCCTTCTCTCACTGTGTCTCTCTGTCAAATAAATAAATAAAATCTTTAAAAAAACAAAAACAAAAACAAAACTATTGAAAATGGGGGCACTCCACAAAAAAATAAAACTAGTCATTTAGAAAAAAAGGCAAAATTGGATCCCGGCCCCACACTTCCCAACAAAATACATGCTAGGCTGGCGAATGCCTGTATCTACACCTGTATTTATAACTACATCTGTACCACATCTATGTCTGTACCTGTCCCTACTGCCCGTTTTTAATTGTGTGCGTGCACTTCCTCCGCTCCAGAGCCATCTGGCACTTTCGGTCTCTGACTTCTGGGGAATTCTTTTTGCAAATTGGGATGGTTCTCTTTTCCCTCATGGCTGCTTTGCATTTGTTTTCTCCGCAGGGCCCTGGCTATGCTCAGCACCACTCCAGAGAAAGCCTTCACTTTGGAGTCGGAGTAAGCAGTGTCCCCTAGATTGGGACAGTGCACAACCTGCACAGCGGGACACAGGAGCTCGCTCTGTTTCTCAGATCCATGAAGTCCTTGGCCCTTTATCCATTTTTTTCCAGTTGCTCAGATCTTGTTATTGTCTTTTTACCTTCTCCCTGGCCATGTTGGTCTACACCTTACAAAATCCCTTTGCTATAGTTTATGTGGGGTTTTAGGAGAGGCTGGAAGGAGTTTCATATGTTCAGTCTACTTGTTTCATTCAGCACTCTCCTAAAGCATCACTTTTACAAGGAGAAATAGATATAATTAAAATTATATTCATGAGAACTGGGAACCCATTTTACTTCATGAGACTGTATTCTAGTCTCAGCTATAGTAACTACACATGTTACTTTGTCTAAGTCACTCTGTCCTCTAGGGCTAAAGTTTCGTTGTCTATAAAATGAGTTTGGACTGGATATCTCAGAGTCCTTTCCAGTTGTTACAGTTTGTACCTGTTATATGTTGATGTCACCCTAGCACAGTGTCTCCTACACGCTGCTTTCTCAATGAATATTTACTAGAATTCCCACTGAGGAACAAAGTTATAAGCCTTTCTTTTTGCACAACCCTCCAAATTACTATTTTTTCTTGAAAGCAGTCTTTTCATAATAAAAAAAGGTCTGTTTGTTGTATATTTAATACAAGTGTATACCAAATGGGAGAATTCACTATTTGAGGTATAGTGAAAGCTGAATTATTCTTATTCCTGGAGATAAAAAAATGAGGGTTATATTATAGAGATATAATCTCTTTTTTTTTTTCCACAATGGTTCATGAACTAATTCAGCTCATGAGCAGCCCAAATTTTCAGCTCACGATTATACTGTCAGTCAACCAAGGAACTCATCATGGAGTGGTTCTATGACTTTCACAAATATCTAGTTAGAAAAAAAAAACAAAGGCAGCCCAGATGAAGGGCTGATTAGTCAGAATTCTATAAAGACAGCTCCATGTACCTGCAGTGGCAGCTTCTCACCTTCACTCCTGGCTTTTCAAGCCACCAGCCTCAGCAGATTTCATGGACTCATTCTCACTGTGGTGTTTTCTAAATTGGACCTTGTGAATCGAAAGAAAGGAAGCCCATGGGGACTGATGGAACTATGGCTGCTAAATTCATGATGCTATTTTGGAAACTGACCATCCCACACAGCTCCAGGCAAAGATGAATTCGAATCAATGATATCAGATAGTTGCCAAAAAGTGGTTCAATTTTTATGATGTAGCATTGCATCAAGCAGAGCATCTAATCATTTTCCATTTCAAAACTTAAAAAAAAAATGATCTGAAGACATTTGAAGTTATT